CCAACGACGCGTCTTCAAGCCCGCCCCCGGTCCGGGCCCCAGCCAGCGCCTGCGCGCCTGCGCACTGAGGGCCGAGCGCCGCCCTCGGGCGACCTCGGGCTACACCTTCTTTCCCCGCCTCCCCCCCACACGGACCAATAGGAGAGCGGAAAGCTCGGTGGACTCGACCTCTGATTGGAGCAGCTTGGAAATTGACAAGACGTCACGCCCAAACAGAAGTGCAGCTCGCCTCCTCTCTTAAGGGAGGGTAAGGGCTGGCTGGCTCGGAGGCCTAGGGTGGTTAGGGTTGGGTGTAGCCCGGTAGGTTACCATCTCCGAGACGAGAGCGGCGAGAAAAAAGGCATTGAATAGGGAAAGGGGGAGACGGGATGGGTAGCCGGCAGAAAGGGTCGAAGGACTTTTCTGAGTGACGTCATTGCCACGTCCTGCTTCGGAAGCGTCACGGGAGGGCGGCTGCTCACGTGACCTTGGCGCGCTGCCATTATTGGGCGGGCCGGGCGGTGCCTGTGGAGGGTGGGCGGGGCTAACCCCGAGCTTGAGCCCGCCCCCTGCTCTGGCGGAGATTGATTTCCTGCAGGGGCACAGATTTGGTTCCCCTTGGCGCTCACCCTGAGCCCCGGTGGTGGGAGCAAAGAAACACCATGGAGCCCTGCCAAAGGCAACGCAGAAGCAAGAGGATGGAGACTAATGAGGAAAATGCAACAAAGATAAAGAGAGAGACCTGCGTAGGGGCAGGATGTTTACAGCTCATCAGAGTGATTTTTGTAGGGAAACTTGTAAGCACGTTGAAATGGGCCAAAAGTTCACTGGGTGTCTTCCCTACTGGCTCACCTTCCCGGTATTCTGATCCTAAGGGGGCTCCCCATCTTTGTGAAGCTCTGTGCAGCTCTACATTGTAGATACCTGAGAGCAAAACAAAATACCTGTGCCCATTGAACTTCACATTGAATCGTCCCCCTCCTTGGAAAAAGCCGTTTTGCATCTATTTGTAAATTCATTTCCTATTCCTGATTCAGTAATATAAGTGGGTACTTAAATTCTGCTTTAACCTGGTTCTAACATCTTACTGGTCTCCTCAATGAGTAAATAAGACTTTTGACACGTGTTGATTTTGTATTTGCAAGAGATTTATGACTTTTTCCCTTTTAAAAAAAATATTGTCGAGTCCAACCAGTGTGGCCCAGTAGGTTGAGCATCCTCCCTACACCAAGAAGTTCTATTCCCATCAGGGAACATGCCCCGGTTGCAGGCTGGGCTCCAACCCCAATAGGGGACTTACAGGGGCAGTAGATTGATGTTTCTCTCTCCATCTCCCTTCCTCTCTCAAATCAATAAAAACATATTTTTAAAATATATATGTTGTTGACTTAAGAAATGTCCAAACTTGTAAGGAATTTTTACAAGGTTTTATTTGAGCCAAACTGACAGCAATGCCAGGCAACAAGATCTCAAATGATCTGGACAATGACAGTTTTACAGCTTCTTTTATGCTTGGAAGGGAATGTAAGGAAGATTACTTGAAGGTGGGAGAAAACAAGGCAGGGACTGGATTATAGGAGAGTAAAGATCAGGTGTTCTCTTGAGGGTAGTTACACTTATTTGAAAGGTGGGTTAACCTAGATGCATGGAAACAATGGACAGGGCTTGCTTAAGGGAAATAGAAATACTAAGAAAGGTGTAGCCCTGGCCAGTTTGGCTCAGTGGATAGGGCGTCAGCCTGCAGACTGAAGGGTCGAAGGTTTGATTTCGGTCAAGGGCAAATGCCCGGGTTGCAGACTCAATTCTCAATAGGGGATTCAGGAGGCAGCCAATCAATGATTCTCTCTCATTATTAATGTTTCTCTCTCTCTTCCTCGCTGAAATCAATAAAATTATATATTTTTTAAAAAAAGGTATATGCCTGGGGCATGACTAACCACCATGACTTTCCCAGTAAGAAATTTATTATCAGATCACCCTGTGAGGTCGCTTTTCCTAGAACCCCTTTTTCATTTACACTACAGTTTAACACTTTGGAAGGACCTACACTGCCAAATATATTCTTAGCCGGAGAGACCACAGTTGTTGGGGTCCAACCCCAGCAGGTCCAGGGGTCCCCAAAGGTGTGGACGGAGTCAGCGATGAAGGAATGACACAGAAACAGCCTTCAGTTGATCAGCAGCCTAGTCAGGACCTCTAGCCAGGATCTCCAGCCAAGGTTCTGGTCGGGATCTCCAGCGAAGTTCTGGTTAGGATCTGATCTGGATCTGATGTTTATTGTCTTGTTACATCTGTATTTATACCAGTTGATTTTAATCCTGTCAATTTCTATTGCAAAGGTTAGGGCGTTTCTTATCTCCATTCCAGGGAGTAAAGATTATGTAGCTTAAGCATGATTGTTTGTAGTTAAAGTGATTAACTACCTGCCTGGCACTTAGTTAAGGGGTTGTATCCCCTCCCTAACCTCAGGGAAAAATCCCCACCTGGGGAAACAACCTTTCTCGGAGAGGTGACCTTGGTTAAAACACATGGCGCTAAGGAGAGCAAACATATTAAGAACAATATGCTATATATGCCAGGTCCCTTGAAACATATGCTGTGCAGATGTTTCTTTCCTGCAGCGACTGTGTCAAGCAGCAAGGATGGACCGGCTTCCGGCAAATTCCCCCTTTTTTATTTTTTAAATGATAGCGCATGCAAATCAGTGGCCACCTCTCAGATTGGGCTGTTTAAGACTTGGAAGAAGACTGGCAAGCAATGACAATAAGCATAGCTATAAACATAGTGGATGAAGCACACAAGGAGCCCCGTTCCTTAGGAGGTTGCCGGCCTCTTCAGTCAAGAGATTTCAGCTGTCCTCAAGTTGTTGGTTTGATTGTCTTTGTTGGTCTGGCTAGCGGGTGGCATCACTGGCGACAGGCTTCCCGAAGTGTCAGCGAGTTGAAGGGCTGCATCAAAGGGTCCATCAGGGCCGTGCTTGATGGTGGTGTCGGTGTCCAAGGAGGAGTAAGCTGTGTCCTCTGGGTCAGCTGTTATGGAGGATGGAGGGTAGTAGAGAGAAAAAGAAAAGAAAGCAAAAGAACTACAAGGCATGGAAGTGTTTAGAAAAAAGAGGAAGAAGAAAGGGAAGAAGGCAGCATCCTGCTCCAGCCCTTTCTTTCAGCTGCCCCTTTCCCTGTGGTCCAAGGTAGAAATGGGAAACAAGTCCTGTTGCAGTGAAAGGGAAGCTGCTGTCAGCCAGGTCTCTTATCTAGGTACTGATCTCAGCTGGACCAAGTCTCTTTCTGTTCCCGATCTGAGCTGGGCCAAGTCTCTATTCGTTATCTGGGTCCCTATCTGGGCTGGACATGGGAAGCGAGAAGCAGCCATGGGGGAAGGAGACCTTCCTCAGAAGGGGCGAGTGTTCAAGCCCCTGCACCATTGGGGGGGTGAGGATCTGTGCCCCACCTCTGTTGAACCCCAAGTTCTCTCCTACTGGCCCCTCTGTGACTGTGCCTGTCTTAGGTTGTTCCTCCCTGAGGAATCTTACCCGTCTTTGACTAACCAGCCAAGCTCCGGGGCCAAGCAGGGTAATGTGAGGTTCAGTTCTGTCTCCTTGGTAGTCTACGCCCCCATGGCCTCCACGCCCAGCAACTGCCTTGGGATCCCCTCGCCTGCTGGCGGGGCCCTGGCATTAATCACATATCTTGGGGAACCCAGGTTTCTTCTCCAAGGAGGGCCCAGCTCACACCATTGGGCGAGAGACAGATCCATGGTACCAGCCACCATGAGGCTTCAACCTCAGCATGAACAGAGAGCTCAGGCAACAGCTATGGACAATTGGATTGTAAGAAGAGGGTCCCTCTTGACACGAGGGTAAGAGGGGCCAATACAGGACAAAGGAGAGTCCTGGGACAGGGCTTTCTCAGCCCAGGATGTC